CCTATTCAGTTCCAGCAGATTGTGCTTAAAAAGAGTGAAAACCTAGGGCTAAACCAGGCATGGTGGTGTGTGTCTGTAGTCCCAACTACTCAAGAGGCTGAGGCAGGAGGATTGCTTGAGCCCAGGAATTCAAAGGCAGTCTGGAAGACCCTATGTCTAAAAACGAACAAACAAAAAAACCCTAAAGCTGCCAGAACTTTGTATTCTTCAAAAGTTGTTTCAAATCTTAAATGTGTACAATAAAATCTCCCAGTGTCTAAACATTAGCAACCAATTCACTTTCCTAAATCCACTGTGCTGGCCTTAAAAAATACCTCTGTGGTCAATGACCTCAACCTAAGAATGACCTACCAAGTAGAGATAGTATCCTCAGCATTATAATGTAGAGATAAACAGAAATAGCACCCTTACCATTAATAAGAGAAGTCACCAACACTAACAGCAGTGGTCAGGCCTGTATCACACATTCATGGATATAAACAGCAGTAACATAGTTAGGATCATCAGTGGTGACAGATACAACAAACATTTGGCAGCACATCTACTACTATAGTACCTGCTATCAGGAATCGAAACATACTTGCAGAACAAAAACACACATACACACAACCATTTTGACTGTTCTCAGTTTATATTAATTACCGCTAATATCAGGCGGTCCTTTATTGATGCCTGAATATATATATGTGTGGGTATGTGTATGTATGTGTACATATATATATTTTATGTACATATCTTGTTATTCCATTTACTCTCCCAAATTTTATACCACCCGGTCTCCCCCCACATCTCTAACTCCTCCCCATACCCACTCACTGCTAATGGCCTTGCTTCTATTTCACTGAGAAAACAAGACACATTCAAAAACAACTTCCACATGTTCCAACCACCACATCTAACAACCTACCTACATCTGGACTAATCTACCCTTTTTTCACTACAATCACTATGGCTACTTTTATCTATTCAATCTCTTCACTTGGTAGTGGATCTCATCCGTTTTAACTTTGTACTCAAAGCCTTTGTTTCAGCAATTGTTTCCCTTTCCTTACATCATCAAATTGTCAACTCTCCCCTTCTCTGGGTCACTTCCACCAGCACACAACATGCTATATAATCTCCGCACATGTGGTAGGCAGCCTCTAAGATAGCCCTCCATGTTCAGTGCCTCCTGGAATTCACACTCTTACAATGCTCTCCTCCTACACTTGACTAGGGTTGGTTTGTGTGAACAGCAGAATATGGCAGAAGTGACTGTATATAGTACCAAAATTAGATTATAAAAGATACTAGCCCTCTCGTACAATCACTTCCATTTTTTTCTTTGAAGACTCAGTCACTCACTCTGAAGTCATAAGGACGTTTAGGCAGCCTATGGAGAAGCCCACATGGTAAGGAACTAAGGTGTCTGGCCAACAGCCAGGAAAGAACTGAGGCCTATCAACAACTATGTGAGTAAGCCTGGAAGCAAATCCTCCAGTCTCAGTCAAACCTTGAAATGACTGTAGCCAGGCTGACAGCTTTGACCTGCAACTCCATGAGGGACCGTAAGCCAGAACAACCAAACTAATTGCTCCCAGATTCTTAACCCTTAGAAACTGTGTGAAGTAATAAATGTTTGCTGTTTTTAGCTGCTGTTTTGAAATAATTTGTTAAACAGCAGTAGATAGCTAATATAGCATCTAAAATAAGAAGGAAAAAACCCTTCTTGAAATTGAGCTTTCATATTTCCTTTAGCTAAGGTCCCATCTCCCTGCTTTTCTTTACATAAAACTCATCAGAGAAACTGTATTTAGTAACGTTTTTCAATTTCCCTTCTTTTATTCTCACTTGAACTCTCTTAGACCAAGATGGCCAATAACCCTCACGTTACTAAGTTCAATGGTAAATTCTCAATTATTATGTGCTTTCTTCGCTCTGCTTGAGGATATTAAATTCTGCTACAGAGAACGGAATGAGATAGATAAAACTTATATGTATTACGTATAGATAAAAAGTAAAGCATGTGTGCATTAAACACAGATAGAAAGAGACAAAAGGACCAAGAGATACCTAATATCCTTGAGGTACCTATTTACCCAAGATACAAAAGGCTCCAAAGAGCCAGAATATATTAAATATACATGAGACATATTTAGAACTCAATATTCATGAGGCCTTAATTTGGCTACTCATCAGTAAGTGATACCTATTCTGGCAATATGTGTCCACTGCCTTAGAAACACAAATAAAACCCATGGCTGTTTAGCAGGTTAACTGGAGAGCTAAAGCCATGGCCAGGCGTACTTGTCTCTGCATCTTCCTGAGAGTGTATTTTTGGCCCAAGACATTTTTCATGTGGGCTCTGGTCCTCACAATCATACCATCAGCAAGGAAGGCTGATAAGACAAAGTGAGGCAGAATGTGGGGTACACTGCAGTACACTATGTACCTCAGGATTTACATAGTATGGTGCTTCTACCCCGCTGTACCCTACCCTAAGTGAGTTAAGTTATCCTCTATCTTTCCCCTTGCTTCTGTGTATTTTATATTTATTTAATAAACCCAAATGATATAAATATTTTGTCAGTGAGCCTTTTTTTCATAACCTCTGGGATAGCTTGCTTGGTGGTGTACTTGGAGTCTGCCATTGAATTAGGGTCATTTCCCACATGATAGAGGTCCTCATCTGACTCTTAAAAACATTATTTGACACAGCTACTCACTTTCTTTTTGAAACATTTTTCTCTGTGCCATCACTCATGATTCTCCTCATCTCTCACTAGCCATGTGTTCCTCATTTCCTCTAAAGTGCTGAGACTACGTTGCTATATACACTCACTCCCTAAACATCATGACTTACAGCTTTACATAACATCTGCAGGCTAATAAGTCCCAGATTTATATTTCCAGTTCTAACATCTTACATAAAAACTCCACACAATTTAAAACCAAATTTTTACTATCTACCTCAAAATCTATTCCTCTCTTAGATCATTGCAATGGTCTCCTAAATAGTAGCCCAGATTCCCATCTTAGATCCACTTCAGTCTACTCTCAGTCAGAGTGATCCTTTTCAAAACATAAATTAAACCATACTAATCCTCTGCTCAAAACTCATATATCATTCCATATCTGCGATAGTAAAATCTAAAGTCAGTACCATAATCTGCAAGGACTCACTTGGTTTACTTCCAGTCCCACCCCCACCACTAACTAGCTTACTCAATTCTAGTCATATTAACCTCTGTGCCATTATGCAAACATTCCAAGCATGTTCCCACTTCAAGATCTTCACACTCACTACTCCCTCTGCCTGTAGTGCTCTTTGCCCAAATATTCACATGACTTGATCCTTTACTTCCTTCAGATCACTGCTCAGATATACCCTTGTTAGAGAGCACTTTCCTTATCATCCTTTATAAATACAAACCTACCCAATCACCCCCCCCATCCACAGTATTCCCTATACTCCTTGTTTTGCTTTATTTTTCTCCATAGTCCGAACCACTACCTCATAGATATTTAACAGTTTATTTTTTTACTCCCTGTGTCTCTAGACATTAAGGTCCATGAGGTCAGCAATTTGACCTTGTATTTCATACACATAAAATTTACAGAATGCCAAGCACATAGAAGATACTGAACAAACATTACTAAAAAATAAACAAATTAACAGTAACAGGGGACATTCCCACAGTGAGCCTTAGAAGCAAGA